ACTCAAAAAAGTTATGATTGCTCATATTTATAGCTGCCTAAAAGAGAAGTATGGGCTTCCTGGACCAGCTCTGTGACGTCAACCAACAGTGGGCTTTAGCCTGCTGTCAGCTGAAAAAGGATCACAGGAGTGCAGAACTAACTGGACGCTTGTGAGCCATAAGTACAGCCAGCCAAAATAGCTTTGGCCATATTTAATGTCTATTTCTCAAGACATAACTAGATTGCCCTGTAGTAATGGCTGGGAGACTGATGTGGGTACAATCAATGGGGATAAGTGGGATGTGGCATCTGTACCTCTGGTTTCGTTATCTGCTTCACAGAGGCTCGCTCTACTCTTCATACTTAACCAGGTTTCTAGCACCCAGGCCAAACTTTTACAGTGTGGCAGGAGAGAATCCTGGATATGCCATAAGTGCAACAGCAAAATAATAGTTGAAAGGGGAGAATTAGTTAATTAAGGCTACTAAAGTAAAGTATGGTTAATAAAGGGTTAACTATAGACAAAAAATATATAAAACAAAATAAATAAATAAATACATTTTATACTTGTTAGGTTTCTTTAACTGACATCACCTGCAGATCTATCCATTTGATATGCAGAATAATGAAACAGAGTAGATACAAAAGTAACAATATGTAATACAATAGTAACAACTTTGTATCTCTCCATTTCCAGACTGAAGGATGTTGATAAGCAGTGTGTCAGACAGTTTTCTTACACCAGCTACTAGGGCTGCTGTATTTACACAGCAACCTTTGGCTTTTATTTTAACCACTTTGCCCTCCAGAAGATTTACCCCCCTTCCTGACCAGGCCATTTTTTGCATTACGGCATTGTGTTACTTCAACTGACAATTGCACGGTCATGCAACACTGCACCCAAATGAAATTTACGTTCTTTTTTCCCCACGAATAGAGCTTTCTTTTGGTGGTATTTGATTGCCTTTTTTATTTTTGTGCACTAAAAAAAAAAAAAAGACTGACAATTTTGAGAATAAAAACTCCCCAATATATTTGACTTTTTGATATTAAATATGTCCAGTAAAAAAATTAAAAAAATAAAATTTTGTTATACATTTAGGCCAAAATGTATTCTGCTACATGTCTTTGCTAAAAAAAATCCCAATAAGTGTAAATTAATTGGTTTACGAGAAAGTTATAGCAATTACAAATGGCGGTATATATACTGGGGGATTTTTTTTTTATTTTTACTAATAATGGCAGCAATCAGCAACTTATAAACTTATAGCAGACCGAGGCAGGCATTCTGACACTGGGGGGAACTGAACTGGTGTCACTGACATTCCCAGTGACACCAATACACTGATCAGTGCTAATAAAAACACTGACACTGTACTAATGGCACTGGGCAGGAAGGGGGTTAACATGTGGGGCAATCAAAGGGTTAACTGTGTGTGTGCCATTTTACATAGTGTGCTGTGTTAGTGCTTTCAGTGTAAGCACATTGCTTTGTATGGCTGTGCTATGCACAGCCATGCAAAGCAGTGTGCAAGAGCTGACAGGGGAGAGAAGTGTATTGTTTACAAACAGTTCTTTCCCCCCGTCGGAGATGCTCGGCAATCACCGGGCGCCCGCAACTAATCACCGGGTGGGACCCTGTGACTGACAGCCAAGGCCGCGAACGGTGGCGCAGGTAGGGCACGCGTGCCCGCGTGCATGGCATCTGGAACTGCAAAATCACATATATATAACAAAACTTTTTCTGAATTTTGATTCATAATGAAACAAATTGTGCATGTCTACTGGAAGAAAGTAGTCTTGATTCACAAAGCTAACACACCAGGGAAAGGATCTCTATTTTCATGTGATTTAGCCTGGGTTCACACTGATGCGGTGCAAAATTTGCACCGGTTTCTGTGCAATTTCCGCATCACATCATAATCACACCCTATTCACACAGACCATTGCTGGTGTGTATTTTAAGATAATGACACCCTGAAATCAGTTCGCAAAACGCGGTGCGATGTGCAGAATTGGATTGCATGGGTGTAAACACCCAATGCAATCCGATTCTGGTGCAGACTAAAAAAGGGTCCTGCACTTTTTTGGTGCAGATGCAGTGCGATTTGAGCTATACAAAATGTATGGCTCAAATCGCACCGCACAGAATTCGCATGTGATTTGCACAGGAATGTGGTGCGGTTCCTGTGCAATTCACATGCTATGTGCCACACCGCATCAGTGTGAACCAGGGCTCAAACAGGAATGCAGTGTCCTGACCAAATCACATGCGGTTTCCTGCACTGCATATTTCTAATATGCAATCTGATTCAGCCAATCCCACCTGTTTTTGGGGTATCATTAAGTTTAGGTTGACGCCTAAACATTTTGCAGAAACGCACTACATTTAACTTGATTTTTTATGGGACACGTTCACATCCCTGCTTTTTCACCCAGTGTGTTTTTTGGAAAGGGTCAGGGACTTTTACCACTTCAAGTCCGGAAACTTTCACCCCCTTCCTGTCCAGGCCAATTTTCAACTTTCAGCGCTATCACACTTTGAATAACAATTGCGCGGTCATGCAACACTGTACCCATATGAATTTTTTTGCATTTTTTTGAGACAGATAAAACTTTATTTTGGTGGTATTTATTCAACACTGGGACTTTTTTTTTTTTTTTTTGCTATATAAATGAAAAAGTCCACAAATTTTGAAAAAAAGTGTTTTTCTTATAAACTTTTGCAAATAAATAATCTTCATAAATCTTTGCCAAAATGTATTCAGTTATCTTTTTAGAAAAAAAAATAACCCAAATTAGTTTATAACCAAAATTATAATATTTCTAAATTTCTTTTTACATTTTAATTTTATTTTTTTATATTATTATTTATGGGTTTTTTTTACATACTGTCATCCTAGCAGTACAGTGTCACCATGGTGACACTGTACTACTTGAGGGGGGTAATGAGTATTTTTTTTCTTTTTTTACACTGATTGCTTTTACACCCATAAAGGCTGTAAAAGCAATAATTTCTCCTCTCTGGCTGCATTCTTGCAGCCATTGAAAAATACTGTGTGAGCTGTGATTGGTCACAGCTTGTCACATGGTACAAGGCTGTTGTGAATAGCCTTGTACCATGTGACCTCTGTATCATTCACAGATTTCACACGTAGTAAGCAATGTCAGAAGTGACATCTTGCTTACTACCAGGGGTGGACTGACCATTTGGGAACTCGGGCACTGCCCGAGGGCCCGGGGTCAGTAGGGGGCCCCATGAGATGCCCCTGGTACCTTTTATAGGCTTTTTTGGGTGCCGTTTGAGTGTGGGTGAGGACACAGGGGCCCTATGATCCCCTTTTGCCCTGGGGCCCCATGAGTTGTCAGTCCGCTCCTGCTTACTACTCTTCATGTGATCACTGATTGGCCAATCAGTGATCATGATTGGGACCTCGCACAGAGGTCTCGTACAACGATCGGTGTTCCACTGTGTCCGGAGGACACAGCGAGCACCGGATCGCGATGCTGCGTGCTCCCAGGGTGTGCGCACAAGCAGGGGGCGGGGAGGCCTTTTATGGGCAGCACAGTGGCTAAATGGTTAGCACCTCCACCTGGCAGTACTAGGGTTGTTGGTTCGAATCCCAGCCATGGCACCACCTGCCTGGAGTTTGCATGTTCTCCCTGTGCCTGCGTGGGTTTCCTCCGGGTACTCCGGTTTCCTCCTACACTCCAAAGACATGCTGGTAGGTTAATTGGATCCTGTCTAAATTGGCCCTAATATGTGTATGTATGAATGTAAGTCAGGGACCTTAGATTGTACACCCCTTGAGGGTTAGGGACTGATGTGAATGTACAATATATGTATGTAAAGTGCTGCGTAAATTGACAGTGCTATATAAGTTGGGGACTGTAGATTGTACACCCCTTGAGGGTTAGGGACTGATGAGAATGTACAATATATATGTAAAGCGCTGCGTAAATTGAGGGCGCGCTATATAATTACCTGTAATAAAATAAATAATAAATATACATGGGCCATATGGGAAGTGGTTAAAAATGCAAAACGTTATGTTTTGGTTCAATAGACTTCAATGGAGATGCTGCAGAAATGCATGTAGTGCATTTTTGGTGCGTTTTAATCTGCCCAGCAACAAGTTGGGAAAAAAAAACGCAAAATGCATCAAAAACGCATGTGCAGAAAATCAAAAATCAGAAAGCGCTGCAGAAACGGATCAAACACAAGCTGCATAGGTGTGAACCTAGCCTAAGTCCTGACTCACACCTATGCGTATCGCAATCTGCTGTGGGGAAAAAAAAAGAGTCCCTGACCCTATCAAAGAACGCAGGGGCTGAAAACACATAGATGTGAACGTGTTCCATAGGAAATCATGTAATATGGACCGTAGCGAGTTTCTGCAAAATGCAGTAAAGAATGCACAGGTCTGAACCAGGCCCGACTTAATACTTGTGATGTGGTACGGGAAACGCACAGGAATCGCATGGAACCAGTGTGAACCAGCACAGCATGAGGTAACACCTGCAGAAAGTTTTCTGCAAACCGCAGGCTCCCTACTATAATGCACAGCCCTACAGCCATGTAGAATGTATGTGCCTGTAAACTGGCAGCTTGTTCTGCCTATCCGAACTTTCAGTTTCCACAAGCTGTGTCATCTGCCCTACATCCTTGACCCTTGTCTGCTGCACCCAGGCGTTCTTCCACGCGTAGAGCACGGCGGATGATGTCACCGCGTCTGTCTCAGCAGTCAGCTGATGGCGGGGGAGGGCCCCCTGTGATAGGGGCGTGGCCGGGCGCTGTATAAATGAGTGAACAGCCGCTCTCTAGTTATTCAGTCTTCGGCTAACCTGTGGTGTGTTGTTCAGGTGGATCGCTCAGTCTGGTACGTATACAGCTGCGTTTAGGTCTTGTGTTCTTCCAGCCCCGCCAGCGTGCTTTCTGGTGTACCCGCATCCTCTAGGCTGCCTGTGAGTCTTTCTCAGCGCTAATGTATTTTCTCCTCTTTAGGTTCTCTATACACTATGGCTGCATTAGTGGAGCAAGAACAACAGCAACAGGTAATTACAGAAGCCAGGCCGTGTACTCCTTTTACTGGGCCCTTGCTCTTCTAGTCTGCTGACCTTGTCTTCAGCTGCTCTGATCCTCTTCACTAGGAGTACCCCTTTTGTGTACAAAGTAGGCTTTCACTCTTAGGCCGGTATTCCAGGGAACATGGTGGTCAGCTGATGTTGCTTTCTGTCCTAAAGCCATGCTGAAGGTTTAGATTTCCGCAAGCCTTGTAAATAGGTTTAAGAACCTGAACGTCTGATCCCTTTTTGTCTTTCTGGATGTAGTCAGTAATTGAATTAAGGGAGTGATCATATTGTAACAGACCTGCCATTGAAAGAGGAACTTTGTATTTAGAAACTAAATTCAGCAGCTGTTAATGTAAGTTCTGGCTTGTAACAAGTTTAGCAGTCCTTGGAGTCTAGTAGTCTTCCCTGATGCTTGCTCCTTGTTGGATCCCTGCTGCAAGTTACAGGGGCTTGCTATGATTTTTCTGATGGGTCACAGCTGCCTCCCCACCTCACATGCAAGACATCCAGCATCCTTCTGTCACATAGCCTAGGTGCCTGGGAAGGCCAAACTGACAATGCAAGGGTTGATGGATTACCTGTCAAAAAGCTCCCTGATTAATACTTTAATATGAAGTTGGGGGCTGTGGGAGGTAGTTGACAGCTCTTGTTTTTGGTGACTGGCTGTTTAAAGTCCCATACGCTCTAAAATCTATTAGATTCTCCCATAACTATGTAATGAGGACATGCCTAAAATCAATTTTTACTGTGATCAGCTTGGCAGTACACAATATAGTTGGCGTTAGATCTAAAAGCTGATTGAATGGTTAAGGTTAGTCTGCCTATCCCCTAATGAATGCAGTACATGGGTATAACTGCTCAGGTATTTGTCTAGGAGTTGAGTACTTGTCTAATATGCTGCTCTTCTTACAGCACAAGTCTGGTCCCTGCAGCCCCTTCCCCCTCTGCAGTCTTGTGTTCTTATACACTGGACCATCCCTGGTGTTGTCACACGCATAGACATTCTCTGGATGTGAGGATGGCCGCAACAGTCTACCCATAGACAGAACAATCAGTTAACCCATGCCGTGCATGCACAGCCCCACTGCATGACTTTTTTTTTTTTTTTTTTTTTCCCTTGGAGGTCTGCTTGAAATTCGGAAGGGGCTACTTGTACTGTGGGGCTGGGTACACTACTACAGCAAGGTTTTAAACTGCTGAGCTACTTGTATTTTAATATCTCTTGAATTCTGGTGGCAAGTTTTGACCAGTGCCATTTCATTTAAATCATGTCATCTCTACTAGGGGATAGGCGGATCAACTTTTCAGCTAGATAAAGCTTGAGGGATGGGATCTAGGAAAATAGTAGTCAAATATTGAGTTTGAGACAGGAAAGTCTCCCAAATTCTAATCAGTGTGGCTGCTTTCAAAGAACTGAACTTCCTTGGTTGTGTAGCTGCAGTTGCTACACATTTAGAAAAATGTATTGCCATAGTTTTAAAGAAACTAAATCTAAAACTAGTTTGTTAATGTAGATTAGTCTCTAAATGTAGTGGCTGCATTGTTCTTTCAAGCTTCTCTTCCCCCCCCCCCCCCCCCCCCCCCCCCTTCCCTGGAGTTGGGCTGCAAATGTGCACCTACTGAATAGGTTCTCTATTGTGCTATAGCCATAAGCACTGATGGGGCCAAAAAAGTTTAAGGTGCCAGATTGTTCACTAACAGAATGCATCAAATGTATATTTAACATACACAATTGAATCTACAGCACTCCTAGTTTTGGGTTTTACAGCTGGGCAGTTCTTTTGGGTTGTAGGATGTCAGTATTTAGTCCACAAATATATGGAAGCATGCTCATGTATAACCCTTTGTTTTCCTCAACAGAATGTTGTGGTTAGGTTTATTAACCTTCCCTTGGTGAGCTCAACATATGACATAGTGTCTTCTGTTTATGAGAACACTAAAGATGCCCATCCCTACCTGAAATCTGTCTGTGGCGTGGCAGAGAAGAGTGCAAAGACCATCACCACAGTGGCTGTTAATGGTGCTATGCCAATAATACATAAACTGGAACCTCAGAGTATGTATGGCTTTAATATTTTTAGCTTGTTTTATAGTTGGCATAGGCTTACTTTGTGCATTGGATGCTAACTTGGCCTTCTGAACATGCAAGTTCCCTTATGGCCATTGATCTAGTGTGAGCAAAACCTCTAACCTGAGTGCTCGTGTGGGTTTTTTTTTTTTGTGGAGTCTTTTATATTTTTTTAACAGTCTAGTTGCATGTGCCTGATGCACACTAAATGGCCTTTCTCTGTTTAATTGCACTAGAATGCTTTCTGTTCTGGTGTTGCATGATATTAAGGAACATGTAAATATCACCCCTCTGGCCCCTGCATAGCAAGTGTACTTTGCTGCTATGCAGCAACATGAAGTGTTGCTTTGTGCACTTTTAAAATTCTAACACTAGCTGTGTGATGTGACAAATACACATCACACCACCTGCTGCACAGAACTGCAGCCCAAAATGCTCGAGTTTAGTGTGCAGGCTAGTCTGAACAGCTCTTGCAACTACCTGGTTATAGCAGCATTTTGTTTCTTGGTACATTCCTTCAAATTGTTAAATGGTTCATTTCCCTTTACTGTCTTACAGATGACAGTGCTTTCCCATGGGTTTTTTTTTTTTTAGTGGAAGGGAGGCTCTCAATAACAATTTGTTTAATATCTAGCAAAATGGTAATTTAAATCAATGCTGCATGCCTGCCTAATGCTTCCATTAGCATTTAAACTGCCCTCAATCATTTAACTGAACATGTTCTGTAGATGTTAATTCTGAGGAGCTGGTCAGCTTGGCTTCCTGCCAACTTGTATAGGAAGTAGGTGAAATGTCATAGAGCTAGACAGTGTTGCTCAGTATTTCACCATGAACTTGGTTGCAGTGTACTGTTCAGTTGCATCAGACTAACATTTCTTTTCATCTTGTAGTTGCCATAGCAAACAACCTTGCTTGTATTGGACTTGATAAGATTGAAGAGAGGCTGCCCATTTTGTATCAGCCTGGTGACAAGGTAAGCTGCCTGTAGTTTAAGAGACTAAAGGGAGAAGTCCACTTTTATTGCAGTTGTGCTTTTATTTATTAAAAGCCTGCAGAACATTGCACAGCGCAATGAGAGGGTGTTACATTGGGCTCCTGCAGACTTGGTTAGCAGTCTACCATAACTCCTGTACAGGCTAGACAACTACTGAAGTCGAGTAAGGAGCTGAGTGCTAACCAGCACCCTTTTTACTTCATTATGAGCTACAAGCTGTCTGTCTCAGTGGAACAATACTTGTAGCTTCACAGAACTCTGTAAATGAAGCGGCTGTGGGGGAATACCTCAGTTTGTACTGTGACAGCATGTCCAGATAAAAATTGGAAGGCCTGGAAAAACAAATTGTGGATAACTGGTTATTGGTCTTTTATTTTTCAAGAGGGTGGAATGTTATATTTATGACCTAGTATTCAAAATATAGAACGTGAACTTTTTTTTTCTCTTTTGGACTTTATGGAAAATTAATCTGTGGAGGAGAGAATACCCTACCTGCTGTCCCAATGGGGGAGGGGGATGGGCAGGTGTTAGCAACATTTTAGTTACACCCTAACTATGGGTGTAGTGCACTACTAAATGGAACATGTTCTTACCTCCATCCAGTAAATTTCCCCCCCCCCCCCCGTGATTAATAAAAAAATCTCACCTAGATAAGACTTTGTCCCCATGTCAAACATTCCAGGAGGCAGGTTACCTGCAGATGAATTTGTACCATGGATTCCATGCGTGTGCTGCAGGCCTTAAGGACTTGCTCAAGACCTGTGATGTGACTTATCAGCACACATGCTGCAAATTCTTTTGGTATTAAAGTTCCATATACTGGCACATATGTACCTACCACTGATCTCTGCTGGGTCTTTATGCCCTGGCAGAGGCCTTCAACGCACTTGCATATGCACAGTATGATCAATGATGGCAGTGTAGGAGCATGGCCATTGTGGGTCTGAAGTTTGTAGGCTTACTAATTTCCCCTTGTAACTGTTCTGTCCATCTTGTAAGATGCTGTACAGACCACTGAAATATAAATCCTGTGTAATACAGGCTCTGTAGTGTATAGCTGGTGGGATTGAGCTAATCATCTTCAGTTGGATATCCTCTTCCTGTCTTGTAAAGGAACAGAGCACGCATCTTTCAAATGTGAGGAAAGTTTAGTTGTCACAGCAACTAGCATTGGAGAACTTTTCCTTTGATACCATCATGTTTTGATGGTGATATTGGTCACCAATACAATGTACAACTAGAGGTATCTTCCAGCAGAGGCGTGGATGGTACTAAACCTTGCAAGAATGTAAACCCTTGTCTAAACTTTCTTTTAAAAGCAAGAGAACTGGAGTTCTTCAGAAACAATGATTGCCTGTATTTCAGGGTCTTTATGCTTGCTTAGAATCACTCAAATGGTATAAAATACTGTAGTCTTAGATCCTGTGACCTTAATGCAGGATTGGTATCCTGCTCTTAAAATGCCATGTATCTGCTCACAGTATAACCTCTTGCAGGCTTGCCCAGTCAATTATGCCACCAATGGGTTTTGCTAGCTGTATTAAAGTGCTGAAAAAGCAGTGGTGTTTATTATATAATTGGTTTGAGGAACTCTACATTGTGGATTAACTTTTTTACTTCTGTTTTCTGTTAGATTATTGCTAATGCCTCTGAGGCTGTTGTTGGTGCTAAAGATGCTGTGATACAGAGCATAACAGGAGTGGTTGATAAGACAAAAGGAGCTGTGTATGGAAGTGTGGAGATGACCAAGTCTGTTGTAAATGGAAGCATCAACACTGTGCTTGGGAGTAGTGCAGTGCGTAAGATGAGCAGTGGTGTTGATACTGCGCTGACAAAGTCCGAGACTCTTCTTCTGGAACAATATCTGCCACCAACTGATGAAGAGCTAGGCAAGTATTAGGATTACTAAGAGGCTCTCTGCATACAACTTTACCCTGTGACTCCTTACAACCTAAATTCACAAAGTCAGTTGTCTTGCGTTTGCTGGACACCTAGCAAATTGTCCACTTTTTTTTTAACAGTATTAAGGATTCTCAAAAAGCTGATTTCTCTATCCTGGTGACCCACATTCCCCTAACTATTGGAATTGCAGTGGTTACAAGTGAGAGGTCTAGCTTCAAAATATTGAACACAACTTTTTTTTTTTTTCTTACTCTGAATGGGTTGGTCCTAAAATGATTTTAACTGGAACTGCATCTTGCAACATCTTTGAGGCCAGTCAACTTAAAGTTGACCTCTGTTCGACAAAGTTCTTCTAATTTGCTTTGTCAAAATGTTTGCAGAAACATAGGGGGGGGGGGGGGGCAGGCAAGGTATATTCTGGAGAAAATGGCACAATTGTTAGATATTCTTGGTAAACCAGCAAATGCAGAGTGCCATGCCTGTGTGGAATTTCTTGCTGTGGGTTACAGAACTGACCTTGTAGTTGCTTTACTGCATTAAACTTGTTTAAACACTTTGTTTTCTTTTTAGCAAAGGAAGCTGCAAAAACAGAGGGCTTTGAGTTATCGACAGGAAATACAAGCTACTACATTCGCTTGGGATCACTCTCTACAAAGGCCCGCAAACGTGCCTACCAACAGGCTCTGACAAAATTCAGGGATGCTAAAGGCAGAAGTCAGGAGGCTATTGCTCAGCTGCAGACTACTGTTGACATGGTTAGTTCACATTGTAGAATGCTTTGTTGGACAATTGCTAGCATCCATGGCTATGTTTACATTTTATTTTCTAAAATGATTGTACAACATGCTAGTGGCTTTCAAAGGAGTTGGTGTTTCCATCTTAGTGTCATGCCTACATTGTGTCCCAGAGCAGATTTTTGCACAGGGTGGTACTTTCAACAGTTCACTAGGCAAGCATTCCCATTGAGTTCCCCTCACATTGTCCCAGTGGTTATGGAGAGAAATGTTTCCATGCTCTATCCCATACCAACAGGCTCTAGATGCACTGATCAATCTCAATTTGCATTGGTAAATTCTACAGATGCTCCTAGATTTTGTTACTTACAGTACTTGTTGTAACTTCACCCCCTTAATGTGTGATCTTTTGTCTTTAAGATTGAATTTGCCAGGAAGAACATGAGTGGTGCAAACCAAAAGATACATGATGCACAGGAGATTTTGTACAGTAAATGGGTGGAATGGACAAAGGGCACAGACCAGCAAACATGTGGAGAGTCTCAAAGCACTGAGGTGGGTATTCTAACACTTCATTGGGTATAAATTTAGCCATGGGTTAGAATGAATTATAATTTTTTTTTTTTTCTTCTATCAACAGCAAATTGAATCCCGCACTCTGACAATTGCACGGAATCTGACCAATCAACTGCAAACTACATGTCTGTCTTTAGTGTCAAGTGTTAAAGGCCTTCCACAAAACATCCAGAACAAAGCTCTGAGTGTTAGTGCCATGGCTGCAGATGTGTACCAGAATTTTCTCTCTGCCTCCTCTTTCAGAGATTTATCTGACAGCCTGATAAACACCAGCAGAGAGAAGTTCACAAATATGAAGGATTCCTTGGATGATATGATGGACTTTTTGGTTAACAACACTCCTCTAAACTGGCTGGTAGGTCCCTTTTACTCATTGGCTGGTCCACGTGGGGAGGAAGCTGATGGGGCTTGTCCACGTGGGGAGGACGAAGCTGATGGGTCAGACACAGCCAGCAAAAAGGAATGAGTCTCCTTCTGTTTCAGGAGTCACTTTGCACTTAAAACTTTTCTTTCACAAAAGTAGCTTTGAACTGAGTTCAAGTATTGCCACACTTGTGCCTTCATCTGAGGCATTCCAGCACTGTACAAGTGTTGCATGTCATAACATTTTGTGTAGCCTTAGCCAATGCATGCTACCTTGAGCTTGTTTCTCAGTGAAAACTTGTATTCTTTTCAGCCCCTTTGCTGTATACACTATCACTGTTCACTTATTTTTTTTTTGTACAACTTAATAAATATTTTGCATTACTTGCTGTTGTCAGTGATAGTTTCCTCTTACCCATTCTGGACATCAAACCTCCCACACTTCATGCAATATACTATAACACAATGGATATGTTACATCTATAATTTTAGAATATTTGAGTTCTGTCGCTAGTACTGCATCTCGTATGCACAGTAAATTCTGGTGTAGGAAGCTGCTGATAACATAACTGTTATGGTTCTCAACACCCCCCCATGGGCTTCATGATAAGCCTGTTGCTCCTTTAACTTTATATTTAAACAAACAGTTTAACCCATGAAAAGGATGAAGCATTTAAATGGTAATTTGTATAGTTTAAGTACTGTTCTACAAAAATCAATTGGTCCCACTGACTTTTATGGGAAAGTTAGGTTTCCATTGGGCTTAGTAACTGAGTGTCTGACCTAGCACATATGCTGATTAGGTGGGTCAAAGCCTTCACAATGTAAGTCTGTTTGCTGTGACAGTGATCATGGCTCTGTTTCTATTAGTGCAGAAGCCCACAAATGTAGGTGGAGTGGTTCTTGTGCTTTAGTGCTCCTAGTGAAGGGGGATTGAAATCGGCAAAATGCTTTGCTTAGGGAGAGGTGAAAAGCATACGGACTTGTCAGATAAGTCTGAAAACCTAACCTGTGTAACTGTAAACAACACAAGCCCTCTAGATGCTTCAGGAAGGCTTGTTACTTTTTTTTTTTTTTTTCTTCCAATCTTAAATGACAAAGCTGCTTTTAAAAATTGACAAAGGCTTGTCATTGTATTTGGAAGCAGACTTCTATTTGATGGCAAAAAGGGGGTTAGACAATTAAAATGATGCTTCACCATCTTGTATATGTCCACTCTACTGAAATGATCTTCTTATTTTCATGAGTGCTAATATAAATGTAGGCAAAATGTTATTGAGAGAGGAATGGACAGCTGCCCAGGTGTTTATTGCTCAGTATCTCCATTGGCAGCAGCTTTTAGTCCTGGTGCTGTCTACCTCCCAGGAGTGAAAATTCCAGTCTGAAGTGGTCACCCAGCAAGGAGGAAAGGGTAGATCTTCAATAGGGACACTAGTTATGATAACTACTAGGAATTTGTTTTGAGTCCAGGGGACAGTAAGTGAATCTATTGGACTGGGTGTAGACTCTAGACAAGAGCTATCCACTTTACACCCCCCCCCCCCTTGCCTAGCATGCAGTGTCTTGCATTAAAACTTTTTTTTTTTTTTTCATTCAGAATATATAAAATTTACCTAAAGTTTAGCAAAACCTTGCTCAGTCTGACAAAGCATTCAAGTGTTTCCATGCTTGCACAAGTGCTAACTGGCAGAGCTCTTGTATTGGGTGTCTGCTAAACTGCATTAAATGGCTAGTTTTTCAGCCACAGCTTTAGCACACTTTTTCAGTGTGGGTTTTTTTAATCTACCATTGTATGTTAATGCACAAAGCCAATGGTGGTTCAAGTTAACAGAACTTTTCACTGGTGTCCAATGTAGTTTTTATACATTACATGAACTGGATCTTCTGTAATCAGGGCTAACCCTGCCTTGTTCACCTAGTGATGTTGCTTGGGGAAAGAATTCAAAACCAAGAATTTGTACTACTGTGGCTTGCATCTTCAGCATGCAGCTTTCCAACATACCTGGAGACAATGCATCTTCCTGGTGTGTTGTAGGCTGCTCAATCACTGGTACCTTTTACAGCTCTGAAGGGGATGCTAGGGAAAAGACAACCACTATTGGATATGAACATCAAACAATTAATGGGATGCTGCATGCCAGAGCAATTTTCTGGTATTAAAATTCTGATGCTATTATATGGGCCTATTTAACACACATCACATGATGCTGTGCCTTTACTTGCATATTAACACACTACTGTGCTGCATTACAGAAATTAAGATTTTTTTTTTTTTTTTTTTTGGGCATACTTTGCAAATCTGTGCTTTTTTGAGTGGGGCCTGTAACCATTCTAAACAGTCTATACTTAATTACTTTCTCAGCAAGTTACTTTAAAGACAACTTGGCAAACTGTGCAGCAAAGCAGCTCTTGTACCTATGGATCACTTTCTACAGCTCTGTGTAGACTAAAGGAACAGTTTTTACCCCTTTACTGTAATTGGATTAATGGGGGATTTAACACTTTTGCAATTTGACTTGGAGCAACTTTTTTTTTTTTTTTTTTGGACCTACCATGATCTTTCCCATTTGGTGCTACACCCAGTGTGATGGGGATAAACTTTCAAACAACTATGGAGTTGTATCCTTGCAATTCTATTGTTTGTGGGGTTTTTTTTTCTTTTCAATTCAGTGTAGAAAATACAACCACCTGTACAACAGGCAATGTGGTGTGTAGGTTTTTCTTTTCTCTAGTTAACACACTCTACGTATCAACCTTTACTTTTTAATGGTTCAATTTAGGGGGGTGGCTTGTGCGCCAGCACTTCTCCCTGCCTTCTGCATGATCCACTGATTGCAGGTACAATGCATAATAAATGCATGTTTTAAGGTGTTGTACAAATTCAGCAAAATCCCATGCTGACATATGTTGAGGATGTATGTACCCTGAATGCAGGAGACCCACAAAGTACTTTTTTTTTTTTTCTAAAACTGATAAATCAATACTATACCGTTTTATATGGAAGTTGGTTTGTGTGACTATACCATATATGGATGACCACTTTAAATTTTTAGAATTTTGTCTAATGAACGCTTTTCTTCCAGGTACCTGACTTCAGCATTAATGACCTATCATCAGAAACTGAAGGTGACCCAGAGATGCTGGCAGCAGAAGAGGAAGAAATGCAAGATTTTTCACGTATAAATGGGCGTGTAATAAACAGGGAATAATCGGATGTGTTCCCTAAACTGTTTACACCACTTCTACTTTCCTATAGAAATGCTACTGCTGTGCTTGACTTTTGCTTCCCACTCCTTAAATCCATCAGGTTTTTCTAACTTTAATAAAACAAACCTGTTCTGGTACATGTAACCAGCTTTGTTGAAGGGGACTGCATTGCTGCTGCTTAGTTTCCAAGTATCCATATGAAGCTATACGTTCTAAAGTTTTACAGTTAGTTGCATCTGTTAGGTCACCTATTTATAACTCTCTTGGTAGTTGGGAATTTGTGTTTAAATTCTAATCTGTCTTATTTTCCATGCAATTACTTGTATTTCTGCACCTGTTACATGTTGAATAAAATGTTATCTGCACCTTTTTCTTTGAGACTGTGACTAATACCTAGATTTTCAATAGGAACAAATTCCAAGGCATTGGGAATTATATTAACAATACATTTAAAAAATCTGCAATTATGAATTGGGATTAAATTATAAAGCCAGCAAATCAGCATTTTTGAGGCACATCATGTAACAAAACTGAGCATTAGTCTAGGTTCATACCTAATTTAGTGGTGCATTTTTCACAAATGCACTATAGCCCATTTAACATGATTTTTTTACGAGACATGTTCCCATCGCCACAGTTTCACCCGTTGCGTTTTTTGGAAAGGGTCAGGGACTTTTTTAAATGCAAAACATTGCATTTTGGATCAATAGACTTAAATGGAGACGCTGCAGAAATGCATGTAGTGTGTTTTTGATGCACAGCAACAAAATTGGGAAAAATGCATGTGCAGAAACAACTGATAAGCGGTCTATTCCCTCTCCACTCTATCCAAAACTTAAAAAAAAAAACCAAAGTTTTGCCTTTAGTTATACTTTAACTGCCAGGATAAATTATTTGACGTTATGTATACTAAGACGCAGAGAATAAGTGTGTGAGGTCAGGCAGTTACTAGAACAGAAACTGTTAAATTTCAAGTGACCTGTTAACTCTGCCTCTCAGCCTGAATAGTCAGGACTTTTCAGACTAAGTACCTTATTTCTTTTGTTTAGACTAAGGTTTCATGCCAATGCACACTGTCATATTGGCACTCGATACTATTGTTTGTGGTAAGTGGGTCAGTAAATGCCTCTTTTGAACATGTACTATGTACAATGTGCCTGGCTTCATTTTATTTTCAGTCAGAATAGGCATACAAAAGTGTGAGTATATTTAACCACTTGCTAACTGTGCTATAGCTGAATGACAGCTACAGCGCACTTGTCCAGTTCTAGGAGAGCATCCTATGACGTCCTCGCAGAATGCACCGGCAATCTCCATGATTGCTGTGTCCCATGGACACAGCTGATCACGTGTTGAGGTAAAAGGCCAATCACAGCGAGTAAATACAGTTGCCGGTTATTGACAGCGCTTTCCTCACACTGTCACAGTGTGAGGAATGTACTGCCGATAACTGGCGAATTATCACAGAGCAGATTGGCACTGATCAGTGCTGCCCAGCAGCTGTGCCTGTCCGTGCTGTCAGCACTGCCCATCAGTACCACCTATCAGTGATCATCATTGCTGCATCAGTACCTCCTCATCAATGCCCACCGGTGCAGCCTATCTGTGCTGCCTATCTATGCCACCTCATCAGTGCAGTCTCATCAACGCACATCAGTGATCCTTCAAAAAAAATTAACTGCAAAATTTTATAAAGAAACAAAAACTTTGTTTTAATCAAATGTTTTGCTTTATTTTTTGTTTATAGTGCAAAAAATGAAACATCCAGTGGCAATTATATACCAACAAAAGAAAGCTCTATTTGTGTGAAAAAAATGATAACAATTTCATATGGGTACAATGTTGCATGACCGTGCAATTGTAATTCAAAAAGTGACAGTGCTGCTGAAAATTGGCCTTGCCATGAAGGGGTTAAAAGTGCCTGGTAGGCAAGTGGTTAAAATAATATTCCTAAAGATGAATATACAGTATACAAGCTTATGAACATTTCATGCTAATGGGTACTGTTTGGATTTGCTACTGCAATCATATGGGAGGTGAATAACATTGACAGACTTAGGAGTAATAATTATGGGGAAAAATTTTTTTTTTTCGTAGATCTGTATGACAGAAGGGTGATGCTACTATCAACACTACTATCCAGCCTAGTGGTTTTCAATTTATGAGCTAAAGGGGGCTTCAAGTGCAGCCCCCAACATCACCAAAGGGTCACATATAATGCTCAATATATGTAATTCTTCAGAGGACTGTCAGAAACTGCAGACCTCATAGCGGAAAGGAGGGTCTGAGAGTGTGGACATGCTACATTTTTGGCTGGGAATATGCTGCAGAAGACAATATGAAACTGGGAACGTGTTGAGGTTAGCAGAGATCAATGCTAATACTCTACTCAATGTTCCCACTACAAATGGCTGAGGCCCAAGGGATGCAGGTTGGGCACCAGGGATCTAGCCACATGTAGATAAACTGCACATTGTATTGTCCAAGGTACACCCAAGATTTTAAATTTTTAAGTTTTTTTTTTTTTTACAAACCTTTCAACTTCAAATTTTGTGGAATTTTTAAAGTGGCTCTAAAGGTTCAAGGTTTTTTTTACCTTCATGCATTTTATGCATGAAGGTAAAAAACCTGTGTGCAGTGGCCCCTCCAGGCCCTCCTACCCAATCCTTACCTGAGCCCTCTCTGATCCAGCGAAGTTCGTGATAGCTTCTGCTGTCTGCGGAACTCTTCCTTCTCATTGGCTGAGACAGCAGTGGAAGCTCAATCACAGCCAGTGAGCTAATGAGGAGAGAGTGGGGGGCAAGGCTGAGGCATGGCTCTATATGTCTTATTGACGTATAGAGCAGTGGGTCAGGGATTCAGCGGTGCCCCCAGGGTTAGTGGCTTTCCCTGGGGGCACTGTTTGAGGGGGAGGAGCCAGGAGCGCAGACAGGGACCCAAAAAGAAGAGGATCAGAGCTGCTCTGCAAAATCACTGTGCAGACAAGGTAAGTATAGACATGTTTGTTATTTTAAGAAAAAAAAAGAAGCTATAGTGTCACTTTAAACACAACTTAACCAAAGGTATAGGTATGGGAAACAGACACCACATTTTGTTCTTTTAGTTAAATGTCTTGTTACATATTGGATCTCCTGCTTGCATGGGCTGAACGATCAGTCAGAATATAGTAAAGTTATGGGTTCTGTATAACAACCTGTAAACATTGACTTATGTTCATTGGTTAGAAATGTTGTTACGTAGGTTATCCCACCTGTCCAGATTCTAGTGGAGCATTATCAATTTGGAGGGCTTTGTAGAAATAGGTACAGAAAGAGTTGTGGTTTTTACAAAACATGGGTTGTCTGGGGGACAAGGTTGGAACAGAGTTTACATTTGAATTCTTTATTTCACTCTGAAGTTATGTTACACCTGTATAAATATAAGTTAGGTGTGGTGAGCAGTTATGTAAGACCTATATAATTATAGCTCAGTTCTAAAGAGTGTCGATGTCAAAATTATTTATACCAAAGTATTGCTGTCATAACGCATTAAACTGTTTTATATTAATATATCTGTATGGCAATTACAAAAGTGCAAACTCAGCTCCCCACACTCCAACACATCAGTACCAAGAGCTCCTCTTTCCCACAGCAAAGCAGTAACATACGCAGTCCTACAAAGCTATTTAAGACCAGAAGCTTCTCTCTCAAAGAATACAGCAATATTACTAATTATCTTTTCTGCTAAAGTAGTACCATCAGCTCTGCTCTCTGCCACAGCAGTACCATCAAATCCACTCAAAGAATAGAAGAAGACCACCAGCTCCTCTCTACACAAGAGCATTACCATCAAATTCCCTCTCAAAGAATAGAGGAGGACAATCAGCTCCCCTCTACACAAGATCATTACTAGTGAACAGCCCCCTGTTCGGTTCGCGGTCGAACATTCGAAACTACCAAAAGTCCGACTGCGAACTTTGAACAGGGACAATTTACTGAGTGGTATCTTTCCGCATCTGAGTATGAAGTAAAATACCGCTCAGTTACTAAAATACCGCATGGGTTATATTATTAAGTCATGCAGTATTTTACTAGTGAAACATTCATTCATATTTCAGCTGTCAAATGTAGAAAAAAAAAAACCAGCATTGGGTCCTATTCACACCAAGCCCTTCGGGTCTGGTATGGATTTTGAGGGGAACCCCCCCTCGCCAACATTTTTTAAAAAATGGCACGGGGTCCCCCCCAAAATCCATATCTGACCCTTATCCAAGCATGCTGCCTGGCAGGTCAGAAAGGGGGGGGGGGGGCAAGTGAGTGCCTCCCTCCCTCCCTCCTGAAACATAATAGGCCAAATGCCCTCAACATATAGGCGGGGGTTTGGGGCAGGGGGGCTCCACAACCCTGGCCAGTGGTTGTCGGGGTATGTGGGTGGGAACTTATCAGAATCTGCAAACCCCCTTTAACAAGGGGATCCCAGATCCCGCCCCCCATGTGAATAAGTACAGTGGGGATCGAAAGTTTGGGCACCCCAGCTAAAAATTTGTATTAATGTGCATAAAGAAGCCAAGGAAAGATGGAAAAATCTCCAAAAGGCATCAAATTACAGATTAGACATTCTTATAATATGTCAACAAAAGTTAGATTTTATTTCCATCATTTACACTTTCAAAATAACAGAAAACAAAAAAATGGCGTCTGCAAAAGTTTGGGCACCCTGCAGAGTTAATATCTTGTACTGCCCCCTTTGGCAAGTACCACAGCTTGTAAACGCTTTTTGTAGCCAGCCAAGAGTCTTTCAATTCTTGTTTGAGGTATCTTTGCCCATTCTTCCTTACAAAAGTCTTCCAGTTCTTTGAGATTTCTGGGCTGTCTGTCACGCACTGCTCTTTTAAGGTCTATCCATAGATTTTCAATTATGTTGAGGTCAGGAGATTGTGAAGGCCATGGCAAAACCTTCAGTTTACGCCTCTTGATGTAATCCCCCGTGGATTTTGAGGTGTGTTTAGGATCATTATCCATTT